CACTGATGGCAAGCACCTACCACCAGCCAACAGGGCAGTGATGTTGATCAACCTCACAGCTTTGGGTCATCCCCAGGACTATGGTGCAGCAGGTGTAGTGATTCCTGGGCCTTATGGCATCAACAGTTGCAATCATTCTGTTCAAAAGGCTACCAATGCGATCGCTTCAACTGTGGTTCAATGCATGCTTATCAACCCCAACATGACTTGATCTGGAAATGCCTGGTGCTCCTGCATTCAGTCCAGGAGAACCTGGCTGGACTTGCTGATCCAACCTGGCAGAGGGAGTAAACGTCACATTGCAGGAACCCGATGCCACGCTGACTACGGACTGCAGACACATTGTGCCTGCGATGGGAACACACTACAATGATAGTGAAACCCATGGAGAATGGGTTGCAGCAAGAAGGGGACCTCCTGCTCCTGGACCAGGCACATGCCCTCTAAGCATGAGTGTCGACTGCAGCTGTGCTGGTGCCCTCGGCAGCTTCTTCATGGCTGTAAAAAGCTTGGGTAGGAATGACATAGATACCAGGAGTACATCCTCTACCCAGACGTAATCAAAGATTGGGTGTGCTGGTCGGCAGGTTGCATGTCTTCTGTCCCGATGCCATTGCCATCCAAAGAACCATCTTGAAGAAACATTCCAGGTCTTTGGGCAGGGTTCCTTGTCCCTGTACTGTGATCACATCATCTGGCAAGGAAGTCGGTGGATCATTGCATGGAACCGAATTGGAGGGGCGTGCATAGTCCTCTAGTCCCAGTCACAGTGAGTTGCTCTGCAGTAGCAAGGCAGGCAAACGAGGCAGGGTAGTATACTGGTACAGGCTCTCTACTGCGCTCCCCTGGCTGATAGTCCCGGACCTCAAGACGGTGGCTCAGAGAGTCCACTGACTCTTTCTCCTCTCCATGTCAATGGTAGTTTGGTGCGGGCAGCCAGTACATTTCCCAGCCCCAAGATGGCAATGGGGACATTGGATACTCCCTCAGTTGGTGGTCAGAAGCACAAGACAGTGTTGTGAGTAGCTGCTAGTCCAATGCACAGACAGAGCGATGGCTTGGTCCAGTGATGGCATGATGGTTGGTGGTTGCCAGTGCAGGAAGGATAGGATCCTGGATGAGGAGACCACCAATGGCAGGCGAGCTGGAATACGGGGTGGAGAGTCCCTGCAGAGGAAGACTGCATCCCAGTTGGTTCCATCATCAGGGTGGGCCTTGATGGAACAACTCCTCTGAAGGTGCAGTTGCTGCTGATGGGGGATGGTACCTAGGCTGTTCATTGTGTTTGGCCTTCCCCGTCCACCATATTTTTGGCCTTCTTGGCCCATTTCCAAGCCTGGTGGGCCTCATCTGCATGCCCAAGAGTGGACAGGACGCACGACGCAGCACGACAGATGGCACCCCTGTAGCCACAGATGGTGGGCGTGAAGTTGAACCAGCCCAGGAGGTAGACAGGTGGTCTGTGAGCACTGCTAATGCCGAATTGGCAGCCTGAAGGGTGCAGCTTCACAGCTCAGCCCAAAGACACCCAGCGCAATTTTTCCGGGCTTGTTGTGTGAAAGCCTGGAAGTACAGGCAGGCTTCCACGAGGTGCTCCTCTCCTAAACAGAGAAGAGGCACAGAGAGTATCCGCCCATGGGAGAAAAACAGCTCCTGCGGCAAATGCCCTTCCAAAAGGGCACCTTGAGTGCCATCAGGAGAAGAAAGGAAGGAAGAAAAAGACAAGGAGAGCAGAAAGAAATTTGAGAATAGGAGAGTTAGTTTTAAAAAATGGAATAAAAAGAGTAATCAGGAATAACATTAAGGTCAAAAAGAGAGGATACCTATAACTAAGAATGTGTAAACGCATGATAAAATAGAGCAAGTCACTGGGGAATTCCGTAGGAAAACCTCAAGGCACCCACAATGCCGGTCAGAAGAAAACTGGGGAAAAGAGCCAGAACCTCTCCCCTCCTGCCCCCAGAATATCTAGGAGGGGTACAGAGTCCATGTGTGATGCAGAATCCACAAAGAACTGGAAGGTGATGATACATGATGCACCTCGTCAAATCGTGGGTTAATTAGCCCAGGATTTACTACCACAACATGCAAATTGGTCCTATAAGACCAACACCATAAGATTTGATGCCTCCCAAGTACAATGGATTCTGCCAAAATAATGTTTCAAGGTGAGGGCATCACCTTGCTTTACCTCTGGTTGCCCACCACTCACCTCACTTCTGGAAGCAGGGACACTCACAGTATTTATTCTGATTTCATGCCATGCATCTTAGACTGCTTTGCCAAAGAGCTCAACGCAGAATGTAACATGAAAATCGCACCACAGTACACATATTTCAAAATGAAACCACTGCCCACCTTCCAAGTACGGATGACTCAAATCAGTCAGAGGCAGTAATGGCCTTTCCAACTCTCCAGAAACTGGATCAGGAGGAAGGCTGCACACCATCTTCATGAAGTAGGTCCCGCAACCATGGAACCATCACCAAAACGGTGTAACTCCCACCCGGTCCCATCCAAACTAGCCATCAATACAAAAGGGCAGGGGCTGGGCAGGACAGCCATGCGTTAGGGAGGCTGCAGCGGCTTCTGCAAGGGGGATCAGGCACTGAGCAAGGGGGTGAGGTCGGGCTACAAGACCTCCGACGTCCCCTCCAAGGAATGCTGGAGTTTGTGAGCCCAAGCCCTCAGGTGATGATCTGATGAATCAGGCAGGTTCCCCTGGGAAGGTCCAAACTCCATGTGACTACTTTTAGGGACAACGCCGAGTCTCCTCCCCTGCAACCCCTTGGCCTAAGAGGTGCAAAGCCTACCATTTGAATGGATCGTACATATGGGAAGTTTCGCCGGAGCGCACACGTACCAGAACTGAGTCCCATCACAGATTCCATGCCCATCTTGTGACCCAGGAAATGCTAAGACAAGCTTTCTGAACATGCGTCCACTGCATCTCTCCTCACAACAGAATCGCTGTGGCTCATATTCACACCTCTGAGATGGGGGGACAGCTCCCAGGACAGAGAGCGAAGAGCAGGGGTGGACACTTTGGGGCCCTCCAGGTGTCTGAGCCTCAGTTCCCATATGCACTCATCCTTCTGCACCGGCTAGCACTGAAGGCAGCTATAGGCCAAAACATCTGGCAGGACACAAGTTGCCCACCTCTGGAATAGAGATAAGAGGTCATGCTCAAGGCCGGGACAACTATGTCTAGGTTTTAATTACAACTGTGTATCTGGTCACTGCCTCTGCAGATTTCCTCTACAGAAAAACAAAACCAGCAGCAGAAATTAATGCTTTCTGCTCTTCTCTAACAATGGAAGGGTACATTTTGGCAGTCTAGAAATGAAACATCATTAGGAAATGACTGAGATGTTCTGGAAGCTCATACCTTGCCTTACAGTAGATGGTAAACTTCTACTTCCAGGAAGAGGTCAGAGGGAAGCGAGAAATGCTTAGCAAGTTTGCAGCAGAAACTGACCACGCTCAACCCTGATTGCCTGCTCCCGAGATGTCATGAACCCCCCTTCCCCCATAACTCTGGTGCAGTTTTGTAATTTTTTAAAAAGTGGTTTTTACTTTAAAAAAAACAGTAATAAGACAATGGACAAACATTTACCTGAATATGTACATATGTGATCTAAAACCTACAAAGGGAGAGAGCTCAGATGAGATTTCGGGGAGGAGCAAAACAGATGACTGAATTAGCACTGGCTTTATAGCCATGCACTCCTGTCTGTTTTTGCATAGTGAAGTTGGAAGGACAATGGACTCACCCAATGAGGAGGAGGAAAAAATCTAGCGAAGTGTTTGCTGTTCTAATAGTGCATCTGCCTGCGGTCTTATAAGAACTCGTGAATTCAGAAGAATAGCCGAGACTGCAGTTCTCACAGAGACAAATAACGGCAAATATAAATATGTGGCGAAGCTAAAGTGGTGTTCAGAACCAAAGGGAGAGAACTCTTTCCTTGTCAGCATTCAGCTGGGCACATGTTATGGTGGTGGTTACGGAAACGTGAATGGCTTGGCAGGACGTAGGGAAAGTTGCTCTTCATGAGGCCAAGCGCTGAGCTGTAAGTTTTGCTTTAGGGCTTGGAATGATGGGAACCAGAATGAGGCCTGGCACACAATGAGGAAACAGCAGCAAAACCCTGAACAAGCTTGTCCTGAAACCAAGCAGATGCAAAATGGGTCAGCATCCTTAATAGCCCTCTCCAAGCTAGCCCCTCCAAATGTCTTGGACTTCAGTTCTCCTATTTTTCCTTCAGTATGGCGAATGGCCACACCAGCTGGGGTTGATGGGAACTGCAGTCCACCACATCTGGAGAGCAGAGGGAGAAGGCAGGCTGGGCTAGGGTTCTGACTGTTTATGGAAACATCCTGCGGCCCATACAAGCATCCGACAATGAGAAATTACAAAGATGGCCATTCCTTGTGGGGGAAAGGGGGTCCGGGACCTCCAATTTACAAAAATCCAAAGAGAGAGCTGTTAGTGAGCCGATATGCAGTCCCATTGGAAGACATTTGTCATGCTACCGAAAAGCATTTTCCACATCCTACAGGAAGCATCAAGTCACACATGATTCATACGGTGAGGCTTTCTGGAGGTGAAGCAGTGTACTTGCCAGCTCAGAAGGAAACTCATGCATGTGTCAGAATGTGCATGTACTTTATGGTTAAAGAATTATCTGACAGCGTTGGGCGGCTTGTTTTAACTGATGCTCATTTAAGTCGAGATTGGGGAGCCTTTGTTTTGCTTTCAAGGGGTGCATGCTGGTGACGGCAAAGCTAAAAATGCCACCCATTTCTCTCTCTCTTTCTCTCTCTGTTTTCCCTGTCTCCATGCAGCAACCTTGCAGAGAAAGATCATTCTTGCCTAGGGATGCGTGATCATTCATGGCGCAGAATTTAGCACAATCCACTTTCCCCCCCCCCCGACATGGGATAGAAAGAATGGAAGGGAAACGGATTCCAGAACCCTTCCTTTCCAGGTGTCACGTCAGGTTTCACACTTTATTGTAGAGTATTGCAATGCACGGATCACCACATTGCAAAGCCATTTGCTCAGAAGCAAATGAGACAATAGGAAATGACTTTAAAAAAAAAAACCTGTCTTCCTTAGAAAGCACTTCTCCTTCTCTCTTTGTAGCACAATGTCACCCTCGCTGGAGGTTCTTTCTTTGCTGGGGTTCCGAGCTGCACTACAAACACTGGCCAAGAGGTGGAGCATCGAGCTTCTTTTGGTTCCTCGGTCTCTGAGCCAAAACCGTCTGATCTTCTGGTACACTTAAGAAGAGACACTCTTTGCCGATGTTTCACACAGTGTGTGGAAACGCTGCGGCTGCCCAAACAAAGGAGTTAAAAAGGGGTGGGGAAGCAAGATGGAGTCACCGTGCTGGCCGCACCAACCCTCCGACAGAGATGTCCGCCACATGTTTTTGGGATGGCTTAGCATGTCGCGCATCCTGCTTGCCTTGCATTTTTGCAAATGTCCCCAGAGGCCAGTTCACTGTAGGTAAGGAAACAGTTACCCAGAGCTAAAAGGATAAAAATAAACAGACCAAAGGCATCAGGTTTAGTTCCAGACTGGGCATACAGCACAACAATTTCAAAATGATGATAAAGCTGCTTATGCCTGTTTCAGAATGAATGGAAAACCAAACTACATGGGGGCTCCGTTGGGTTTGCATTTCCATTAGTTTGGAAGCAAAGACAGAGAGGCACAAACAGGCACAGATGAGAATTCCGTTTGGAACTTAAATTGGTATCCATCAATTCCTCATATACAGATCCACTTTACTGTACAACACAAAGGATATGGCAAAAGGAATAGCACATCAAAAATGCTAATAACTGGGAAAGATTAAAAAAAGAAACAGATACAGTACAGTTTGGACCTGAGAGTCCCAGTTCCTCCAACATGCCAACAAAGTTTATTCTGATTTTCTTGCCTTTATTTCTCTTCCAAAAATATGAACTTGTGATTCACATCTTGCAGTCATTAGATATCTTGGCCTACAATGCCTACCAGCATAGCCAATGGTGAGGGATGATGGGAGTTGTAGGTCAAAACATTTGGAAGACCACCCTAGCCTTAAATGAACCAATATTAGAATTGCATTGGATCTATTATTATTATTATTATTATTATTATTATTATTATTATTATTATTATTACATTTCTATGCCGCCCCTTGCCGAAGCCTCGGGGTGGCTTACAACACAATAAAATACAATAAAATACAAAAAATAACAATATAAAATTAAAATTAACAATATAAAATAAATATAAAATATAAAAATATAAAAAATATATTATCACACTGCATTTATCTCTTCCCCATATAGCACCTCTGGAGGTTGCCAGGGTGCCTAATCCCAGTACAGGCTGATCTACCCAAGAGCAGATCCTACAGATGGGTGCTGTTGTCACTTCCCATGGGCAGCAGGCTGGCCTTTTTGAAAACAGGATGATGGGATAGATGGTCTAGTAATGGAAGTTCAGAGGATCGTATCTGCCTTGGAACAGGCACACCCATATATAGATAGCCAGTGGTGTGAGAGGGAAAAAGGGCCACCGTTTGGGGAAGGAGACATGTGCTGCCATTCCTTCCATCTTTCAGGGGAGAAGGGCCAGGAAAGGGTAGTTTTCGATAGCCCCATAAGCTGCTCTAGAAGCACCCCAGATTCCCAAGTATGTGAAAGATACTCACGTGTACAAAGGCTGTAGCTGCAAATGTGACATCTTTTGGGGTGCCTGGTAGCCATATGAATCAAACCCTCCAATGAAATCAACTGCGGGGAGAGGAGAGAAGGTGAGAAGTAATTGCTCTCTATCCAGCAGCTCAGTTGCAAGAGACAAAGACTGTGCAAAGGAGGTTTCCTCGATTGGGGGCAGGAAAACTTCAGGCAAGCCTGAACTGCTTTGGGCTTTTTTCTTTTGCTTATCTAGAATGCCAGCATCTACCCACCAAAGCCAGATGCTAATGACATGCAGCTGAAATTCAGGAACAGGGTGTCTCTGAACACATTCTGAGCCCAAGGCTTGTTTTCAGTACCAGAACTGGAGTGAGTTGGCAGGACTTACCCCCAGATTGCTTCACTAAACTGGTCGCTTTATTTATTTATTATATTTATATCCTAGCATTTTTCTTTTCAAGAAGCATAAGGCAGTTTACAGAATTCTCCTCTTTCACTCAATCTTATCCTCACAACAACAAGCCTGTGAAGTAGGCTGGGCTGAGAGGCAGTGACTGGCCCAAAGCCACCTGGTGAGCTCCATGGCTGAGTGGGGACTAGAATCTGGACTAGAATCTCCTGAGTCCCGGTCCTGTGCTCTTAGCCTGTGCCCCACTGGCTTTATATGACATTTCAATATGCCATTGTATGCTATAGCTCTATGCCTTGTCTTGTGAACCAGCCAGAGGGCTTTGTCTAATGGGCAGCACAGAATTAGGAATGAATGTCGCAGCCATGCAGAACCTCTTTCAGCCCAAGGGCCAAATTCCTTTCTGGAGACGTTCTTGGGGGCTTTATTTGAGTGGTGGGCAGAACATAAAGCAAAAGGGATGGGGCAAAAATACCAACTCAGATCTCCCACTGCCAAGAATTGAAGCTCAGCAGAGGCGTTTTAACCTTTGGGGTGCAGGGAGAAGCTGCACAAAAGCCAAGGAACCACCAAATGATCTGTGAAAAGGGATCGGGCCAGGGGAAGGGGGAGCTCCTGAAGAGCTGGATTTGGGACCCCCAGAAGGGCAGGTCTGCCACCTAGGCTGAGGTGCCACACTCTTACAAGACCATCACAAGAGAAAACATCAGCCAGGCTCTCATCCAATCGAGCCGTTTTGCAATGAAATTGTAGAAGGCATCAGAGCCTCCCCTTAATAACAACAGGCAGAGCCATCATATAACACCTGCCCAGTCCATTCTACATAGTGCCTAGCAGAACATACTGCGACTCTTTAACAGCACGCCCATTTTCGTGCTTTTCCATTATGCATCGCGTAAGGCATTCAAATGTGCTTTTGAATACACTTTCAATATTAATCTTGCCACAGCTGAAGCTGAGCCTTATCTTTTTAATGGAGTGTCTTATTAGATTTGGAAATAAACGAATAAATGTCTCTCACACACACACACACCGAGTTCCCTGTTAGAAGCACAGGCCTTTGTGTCATTCATCCAAGCTCTATGTTTCAGGATAGGATTGAGCCTATAGTTCACTGCTCTCTAAATCGTTTCCCTTTCCTTGTTTCATGTGTAAATATTATTAATGAATAGCAGTTGGTCTGTGTCAAATAATGCAGCTTGGAAGTCATCAGGCGAACACACAGCACAATTCTCAACAAGGGATAGACAGTGTCCTGTTTGTGTATCAAAGTTTGAATTTTCCAATATATCTGCCTGGAAAATGATCATGACATGCACCCTGGGCAGAAATGGTGATTCGTCTGCAGCAATACTTTAGATCTCATTATGCAAAAGGAGACATTTATTTTCTTTAACACTGACCATCACGTGAGCTGCCTTACACTCCTTAAGGAAAAATACCATTAATTTATCCTGCCAAGCCAGTTTATTTTGTGGTGCATTTTCCTGTCTTCGCTCTAGCCTGCCTTGAGCACCATTGCAGCTGAAATGAAGCCAGCATGGCACACCTGCTACGGCGCTAGACTGGGTCTTGGGAGATCGGGGTCCTAGTCCCCCACTCGGCCATCAAGGTCACGGGGTAACTCTGGGCCAGTCACTGACGGCCATTCCTACCTTACAGGGCAGTAGTTGTGAGGATGAAATGGAGAAGAGGAGGAGATTAATAAGCTGCTGTGGGTTTTGCAGGGACTGGGCCCACTCTTCATTCAGGAGAGACTTCCAAGGTGATGGAGACTGACTCAGACAAAGAGGAGGGAACAGAATTCACAGCTGAATGCCCAGGCCGGTGGAATCAGAGATGAGCCAGGCAGATGCTGAGAAGCAGACCATTTTAAAATCTGCTGGAAGGTTTAGCAAGCATGCTGGTTGGGGTGGCCGAGGGAACTGGCATCATTAATCCGAGGATGCAACATCAGGTCAAGAGAGTGTAGACGCAACTCGCCCTTAAACAGAGGATCCAAGCAAGCAAGGAAGAGGCGGTTTGCTCTTCTCAGTTTGGAAGGGAGAGGGGGATATAGCTTGGAGTCAACTCCTTACCATTAAGGCCTATTTCCTTAATGGACACTCTTCTGACTTGGCTACTTTCCCTTGCTTTTGGCTTCCGCAATACTCTTGTTTTATAGAGCGGAGCTAAGTTCTGTCAAAACTCTTTGCAGGTAGAGTGGATGGTAGTACAAACACTCTATTGAAAAACTGAAAACATTTACATAATTAAAGAGTTTACAGGCTTAAGTGCAGAAGTCTGGAATTCAATTTTGCAGAAGCTCCCGGGGGGAGGGTGCATAACCAGAGGCGGGTAGGTCCATAAGCAGAAAGGGCAGGCTGGAGAACAGCAACCTATTCTGGCTCAAAGCGCCTACTGCCAGGATCTGAGCTTTGGCAGAGGCAGTTCAACCTTTCAGAAGCGGGGGTGGGGGGCGTTCAAAGGTCAGGAGATCACCAAATGACTGGTGGTCAGGGGAAAGGGCTACAGCCACAGAAAGGGGGCATGGCCTGGGATCCCAATCCACCGGTCGAGATTGGGAATCCCAGGGGAGCCAGAATTTCTCTATCCCTGGTATAAGCAAGTCCACCTGAACAGTCTGTGTGACAAATACATCACCCACCAAATACATCACCCATCATTTCAGCAGAGCCGTGGCCCAGACACTTACAGCTGTCTTCTTCTTCCATGAACACTTTGCTCACATAGCAGGCATAAACAAATCCAAAGAGCTTCAAAAGAGAAATAAAAGTAATGACAAATTAAAAATAGGGATTCGACAGCAAGGAAACAGCAACGGTTTTGCATCAGAAATTTTCCTGAGGAGGCAGAATAAGGAAGAAAACACAGAAGGCCAGATTTGGGCTAGGGATCAGGAAAAAGTTCCTGATCGTTGGAGCAGTATGAGAACAGAACAAATGAGCGAAGGAGGTGGTGGACTCTTCCAGGCTAGAAGCATTCAGGATGCAACTGGCCAGGCATCTGAGGGAGATGATTTAACTGGAAGTCCTGCGCTGAGCAGGGGGTTGGACCCAACGGCCCTCTGGCCCCTTCCAACTATCCTATGATTCTATGAAAGTGCACACCTATACAAATCCTTACTGGGCAGTAAGACTGCACACAGTGGGACTGACTTCTGAGTAGACCTGCACAGGGTTGTACATTTTTATCTAGCCTAGCAAGTGTTGGCCTGGGACATGGAGATCCAGACTCTAGTCCCCACTTTGACATGAAGCCCCTTGGGTAAGTCTAGGTCAAATTAAGCAGGATGTTTGTCACATAGATCCATTGATTCCAGCATTCTGTTCATGTGGTGATCAACCAGCTACTCACGGGAAAGCCAATGCATTCTCCTGCCCATGTTCCCCAGCCACTGGTGACACAGTCATAGTGCCTTTGATAATGAAGGCAGCATAGAGTCATTCAGGACTAGTTGCCCTGAATTTGCCTCCTTGCATTTGTCTGGTCCCCTTCTAAAGCCATCTAAACTGCATTTCCAGAAGGGACAGAGCCAAGCAGAGCTGAGCAAAGCTAAGCTGAGCAGGCACGTAGGGGAGAGGGAGAGACGCGACAAGCTTTGCCCACACCTTCATTGTGGTGGACCTTCTCTTCTGAACGCTGCAGGACAAAGGCTCCAAACTGGTGCCACTGAGGGTTTTCCTCCCCATGTGAATAGCCAGTGGAGATGGCTGTGGCCTGAACCTGATCCAATTTTTTAAAAAAGCTGCATCTCATGGTCCAGGTTCTCCCCCAAGACTAGAACTACTATGTTTCTGTGCCGCCCAACTGGCAAATAATGTTTCCATACCACTCAACCAGCACCTCCAGGCTCACCGTCCCAGAGACAAGCTGCTGGGGCTTTCCATTTGACGCTTGCTGCAGAGAAGGCATGCAAGTGCTACGATGCCACACCAGAAAGCTGTCAATAAACACCTGCTTCCTTGCACAGGTTTGTGCCTGCAAAGCTTAATATGGGTGCTCCGTGACATTTTGAAATGATCAGGGGGTAGTTGCACAAAGGCCTCTGGTCTCCTGGGCCTCAAGAGAAGCAGGAGCAAAGCGTTCTTTGTAAGGCTGGCATTGATGGGGGGTGAATGTCGCTCCGAGAGTGGGCAGAATCACCCGCAGCACCTCGGTGACTTTTTGAAGGTCGCTGTGGGGGACGACTCAGCTGTGGCTGGATGGGTGCTGCTGCGACCTACCGCAAGGAAGATCTGCGTTGCGCTGCTCACCACCTCGATGTACTGATAATCCAGCAGGCACCCCGTGACCGTGATGACATGGTGGTCCTCAAGGGCCAGGTTGGAGTTGATCACGGGAGTCACCAGGCAGCCGGGGCCGTTCTCCATCCACCACGAGCGATGCAGCGATGTGTTGAATGTCATGATGAAGTCTCGGTCCTAAGGAAAACGGGACACGGCAAGGTAAACTCGGGTTTTGGTGATGGAGTGGGAGGGTGTCCAAAGCAGGGTAATGGCGCGCTTTCCAGATGCTTTGGACTACAACTCCCATCTGCCCCAGCCAGCAGGGCCAATGCTCAGCGACTGTGGGGATTGTGGTCCAAAGCATCTGGAGCACTCCAGGCTGTTCTGCAGGCAGGCTCTCACTATACAAACTACAGATTATAGAAACTGCATTGGATCGCCGTGGAAGCAGGGGCCAATTTAAAGCACTTGTTTTGACATATAAAGCCCTAAACAGCTTAGGACCTGGTTACCTAAAGGACTGCCTTCTCCTGTATATCCCTACCTGCCCATTAAGCCCTGGGTTAGGTTTCTTCTGTGCAAGAAGAAACCGAATCAAATATTTCAGAAGCCTGAACACCTGGTGTTGTGTTCTACTTTGGCATTTTCAATAACCTTGTTAAGAAAAATGAGTGTTAAGTAGTACCTGAGTTGCAAGCATTTCCATGGACACAGAATGCCAGCTGCAATGTACCGTAAGTAATATACAGGCAGGACTATGCAATACAGTGTTGCACTCTGGAATGCTCCTGTCCAGGGTACCAGCCAGCCAGCCATGCCCTATTCCAGGAATACTCCTTTCCCTTCCCTTCCCTTCCCTTCCCTTCCCTTCCCTTCCCTTCCCACTCCCACAAAAGCGAGCCAGCATCCCATGGTCACTGAACCCACACAGTCTGCATTGGTCAACTTTGGGGGTTCTACTCTTCCCATCAGATCTCTCCAAAATACGTCTTTGCAGAAACATCAGAGTTTCCTCATGTCTTCTCATACCATCCATCAGTGTAGGAGGGGCAGAGAGCCTTCAGATTTCAAGAAAAGTACCTCTGCACATACTGGAGCCCAGAGCACATCAGAGAGCCAGTATTCTGTGTTGCTACAGAGCCCATTTTAGAACCATGCCTGGCTGGTCCAGGCATCTTTCTTCCCTTCCACCCCACCATCACTCTTGTTCCCTAGCAGAATGACCCAGCCCTCCCCCGAAGGCGAGAGATTTACAAAACCACAGTGGAAAGTCACCAGGGTGATCCATTTCTGTCTCCCCAGTATATGGGCAGCATATTTCAATCCGGAGATTGCACTGTTCTTTGTGTCCCATTAAAGGGAAGTAAAGTGTCCCTTTCAGGGAGAGGTGCACACATCCTGAAAATATAAAGGAACCGCAGCCCCTTGATTTATACCGCAGGGCATCGTTTCGGCAGCCCTGATGGGCCCATTCACTCAGCAGCATCGGCCCCAGGGAGGATGGTGGGAGAGAAAGAAATGAAAGACATTTCAAAACAGCTGTGGCATCTTCATAACACCCCACTCGCCCCCTGAACTCTTCTCTCTATCTGACGGAGCCATCGCGGCACAGAGATGATGAATGGGAATCCTCCAATTGTCAGGTGGATCAGTGGTTCGAGAAGGGCACACGCTTGGTGCAATAACAGAGGCAAATTACCTGTGAAAGGTGTCCAACTTCCAGGTAAAAACAGATGATGAATGCATTCCATCCAACCCACAGCACGAGCCACACTGCATACTGGGAGGTGGGGTGGGGGGTGGGGGTGAGAAAAGAGGCAAGGAGGCAGTTAAAAACGTACTCCGAAAGGCCTGCAGGCAGCAGGAGAGGCCAAAGCCACATCCCATCACTTTATTACTCTGTGTTCAAAAGAAAACCAGCATCAGAGCTTCGCATTCACCAGGTTTACTCTTCCCTGCTTTGCCTAGCAAAATGCATCGCCTACAGTTTCACGCACAGAGGTGGCTGCTGAACAAAAGCTCACAGGAAGCTCCCTGAGGTGCTGGGACAGGCGCCCACTCCAGCCCGTGCCCACCCATCTCGCGTCCAAAACGCCACTCACACGTCCAAGAAGCATAAGAACATGGAGCAGATGTTGTTGTCATCGACAGCCTGTTGCAGTAATGACTGGGCACAATGTTGCCGCGTTTCCTGACAGATTCCCTGGTAGATCTTTTCTAACAGATGAAGCATTTTCTGACAGATGGGTAAATTCCAGCCACTGCTTTATTCACTGGATTGCTTTTATTGTAATCTCTTGTATTTTGTGGCTTTGCTTTCCACTGCTCCCGTCTCCATCCATGTGGAATGATTTGTGAATTGTGTACGAAAACAATGATTAATAAATCTTCACTGGAGACTGGTGGGGGAGGAAGATTTCCACAATGGGGAAAAGCTAAAGGACACTCCCCACACTTCCTGGCTGTCCTAATGAGTGTTGAAAGAGAGTAACGAGCTCGACACATGAACATGTGCTGGAGATATTGTAGAGAAGAGTGACTGTTCTGGGAACAGCAAAGGAAGAGAGTTGTTTTTCGCCCTCGCTGCTCCTCTTCTGCAACAGCTCTCTCGAATCGGGGTGGGGGGTAAAAATGCACGATGGAAGATGCAACCCCCTCCACCCTAACCCAGCAAAATTACTATAAACGCTCAAGAACATGAGCGAGTAGATCCCCACCTTCTTGAATGTTCAGCCCCCTTTGCTTTTTGTTACAATCCAGTAACATCCTAACCTTCTCAGACACTGACTCAGCTGCGGGATGCACACAGCTGGCTCACTTCTGGTTCCTGTAGAGCAGCCTTCCCCAGCCTTGTGCCTTCCAGGCACGTTCGGAGTACAGAACCCAGAACACCCAGTCAATGGCCCTGCTGGATGGGAGGGCTGGGGGCTGTGTCCCAAATGCCTCTGAAGGCCACCTGGCTGGGGAGGGCTGCTATAGCACCACCCTTCCCACACCCAGGCCTTGTTCAGGCTTGCAGTCTGTCCTCTGGGGGGGCATCAGAGTGGGGAATAGGCCATGCCAAGTAGCCCCACCCCACACTTCATGTAGCCCCTCCCCCTGATATCAGCCCACCAGGGCTGAGGCTCCTCGGTGCCCCCTACCTCAGCTCACATCCTGAGCATGAGTACACAAAGTCCTACAGCTCCCAGGATTTCCCAGCCAGACCTGCTGGTTGGGGAATGCTGGGAACTGCAGGGATTTTCTTCTTCTATTTCACCATACACATCCTAAGTGGTTCATTACATCTCTGCAGAAAGCTTCCTTTCTGTCTCTCAGTTCAGCTGCTTCCAACTTTCTAGGAGTCTGGAAACTTAACCGATACCTGTCAGGCCATTTGGGGTTTGTGTTGCTGGGGTTTTTTTTTAAACGAACGAATGAACAAACAAACTTAATTGGGATTAGCTTTCTGAGGAAAGCATTAACAAACCCTAGTTCTCAACTGCCCATGAGGAACCTAAAGAATAAGGTATGGCAACCCGTTCCTGTGTGCAAGGCAGCTGGATCCAGGCTGGGTCTAGAACAGACCAAAGTACAGTGAATTCGCCCTCTACTGTTAACTCTCTTCAGCGACAAACTTGAAGGAAAACTGAAACTAAGACTGTGATTATGGCTTCATTTTTTGCAAAAAGGTGCATTATTTCTTCCCTTATGCTTGAGAAGTCAGAAGTGTTTGCGTAAGACCTGGTACCTCGTCTACTGCTTGTGGTTGCTTTGTGCTAAGCCATAATGTCAAAACTGGCTTGTTTCCCCACAGTGAAAACAGTAAAGGGAGAGGGACTACCGGTGAATGACAATATTGTGAACAGGAGGACTTTAACACTGCAAGTAGTCGAGTTTAAGAACATGTAGAATGAATGGATGGATTTGAATGGCGTCCCAATTACTAGAAAAGTCTCTGGGCAGCCATTGGTCTTTCAGGACAAATGGTCCTGAAAAATATATATGACACACACAGGAAGCTATTATGAAGACATGGTGGAAGACATTCTTTAGAGCTTGTTATTCCAGAAAATTTTCCGGTTCTACTTTTCCAGAAAGCCCACAACACTGACTGCCAGCCAGCGGGAGCCTTTTGCCAGTCCTGACTGGTCGTCCGGCCCTTCTTAAGGCATTACTGGTCCCACAAACCACACTGTCAGAGCCCCTTCCAAACTCTGTCCTGGAAGAGAAATCATGCTGACTCAAGACAGGGATACCTTGGCCTACTTGGTACCTACCAGTACGAGGTATTTGGATCTGTATTGGATGGTGCCAAAGACACCCAGGATGACAGCCATTATATGCAAAAAATTAGCCAGGATGGGCACCCACTGATAACCCAGAAAGTCAAATATCTGTCTTTCCAGAGCAGCTACCTGTAAGAGCACAGAAAAAACAGCAGAAGATTAGTCATTCCACAGCATCTTGCAGAAATGTTCTTTTGGAAGTAGCAAAGCGTATCACATATACATAACAAGAAAACCCAAAGATGATTACTTCCAACAGACAGAGCTGTTGGCATGAGTTGGTTGGTGTCGGATGACTATATCAGGAAGGATTTGTTTGGAATAATCACCTGCTGAAGAGAAGGGAACAAAAAATATGTGCACTCAGGGAAGCGACAAATGTGTTAAGGACCACAGATTGCAAGCAGTCCCCAAATTACAGAAGGGCAAAGGAAGCTTAGTGCTTCCTACTACTTGAGAAGGTCCCCTGAGCTACTCGTTTTAAAATACGAGTGCTGAAGCACTTTCAACTAGAGGGCCAAATTCCATTCCAAAGAGATTTTGGGGGCTGCAAACCACTCATGGATGGAACCAAAGGCAACAGAGACAGGGTCAAAATACCAAAAATACCAGCATTATTGTAGCTCAAGGCTCTTACTGCCACTCACTAAGCCTTAGGAGAGCATTTCAGATTTTCAGAAGATTGCAGGGTCAATCCGCAGAATCAAAAGGCAGGACTAGAAGAAATTCCAGTCTGCTACCCCAGAGAGTAGCAGCCAGACAGTGCTGACCATACTGGACTAGATAAGCTGACAGTGTGACTCAACAGAAGCATCAAAAGAAATGCTAAATCATATAGGCTTGACATTAACACTTTATAAAATAATTTGGAAACTAGCAGGCATCCCATCCAAAGCACAGAAGAGGGGTGAAAAAGGCAACTCAATCAGCGTGTCTCATTTATCAATATACATGGTACAAATCGGAACAAACATCAGACCTTGCCAATGACTCCCAATCAAGACAAAGGAAGATGCATACAAGAAGCAGGGGGAGAGTGAAATTTGCAGCAGAATTAATAACAGCAATCCCAAGGGTGAAGGTGACCAAGGAGGCAGATGATTAAACAAATACTACAATACCGAATGTGTGCAATAAACACACAAGTTTTGACATGTTTTGGAACAAAGTTTTGACATTTTGGCAGAGACAGTAAGAGCAGAAGCAGCAATGCAAGCAAAGCAGCAGGACCTTTTCCGTGGTGGCACAAGTGATTCTTAAACATCCACCCTCAAAGTCCCGACAGCCTCCCCCAAACTGGTGCCTTCCAAATGTTTTGGACCTCAAAGCCCATCAGTCCAGACAGCAGGGCTAATGGGTCAGGAATGCCGTGACTTGCAACCTGACTTATATGGGAGCTGCTAGGCTAGGAAAGCTCTAGAGACTCTTCCTGAAGCACATACAGTGCTGCTTATTGCTGGTTTATGCGATTCTCCTTCCTGGTTGTGCTGTAATGCTCGGGAAGTAGGCGTCTCACTTCTGCTTCACTGTTAAGCAGCCACACTAGTATGTTCACTGCTTTGAGTTCATTCACTGAAAAGGAAAACTGGAATACAGTACCTTTATTTCTAAAACGTATTGAAAAACCAGAGACTCCTTTACATGGGCAGCCTTGCCTGAGCTCCTTCCCTTCTGGTGTGCTGCACTACCGCTCCCATCAGTCTATCTGCGGACCATGGGTGTTGCTGTCCATAACACCTGGCAGGCACCAGGCTGGAGAAAGCATGTTCTGGTGGCAGTGCCCTGCGTAATTGCGGGTGGGGGGCATATGGTGTGGAGGTCCGTGTTCAATAGGCCCATTAAGAGCCTAATTAGCCTAATCTAGAAGGTGAAGCTGCTGCCCCAGTGATTTATGGTTGGCTGTCAAGCTGCTCTGCTGCAGGAGACTGGCTTGGGTGAAGGGAGGGGGGCAGAGAGACAGGCACACGCAAGCTTCAAGTCCTGAAGGGAGCTCCTTTGGTGCACTGTGAGCAACAAAGCCCCCTTTCCATTCGTGAGCCACAACCATCCCTCCAGAGGAGCGCCTGTCTCTCAAAGGAGCTGGGCCCCTTGTTCTTCCAGAATCCCAGGCTGCCACTAGAGGGCATACCTGCTCAAAGACTATCCCACTTTCTCGACAGATGGAGCTCTCCCAAGATTAAGGCTCTCCATTGAGTAAACAGGTTTAGGTGAATTAAATATCTGGCTTTTCACTGATTCATGGCTCTGCTGGTTGATCAATTGTTGCATGTACATCCTGCCTTTCCTCCACAATGGAACTCCAAGTGGGATCCATGAGATTCCCAGGCAGTACTTCCAATGCAGAGCTGCTTAGCTTCAGCACCATGGTTCATGCATCTTAGAACCACACTCTGGGAAACTAACTCCCCTCCAAATGTCTTCAGCATGTGGGGAATCCAAAGGAAGATCTACACATGCATCTCCAGATGACCTACAGGGCTGAAGAACACCTTCCCGTCCAGCCACTTCTACTTTACTGCACTAAAGTTGCACGTAGCATGTGATTCAAGAAATGAGGCCCGAGTCTGCATTGTTGCACAACAGAATAGGCTAAGAACTCTCCCTTGAGAGAACAGGTGCTGCCATAGCATGGACAGAGCACGTGGGAGGGCCAAGGCGGATGGATCTCTGTGAGGCTTGGGTTCACTGGCCCGCATACCTGCCCAACGGATGTAAGGCTCAGTCCATGGGAGAAAAGCAAGCAGCACGCGTGAGTGGCTTGTCCGCAGCCCTCTCACTTGCCCTCCCTCCTTCAACGGCCTCCCTTCATTATGCCCCCATCATGGCACGTCCCAACTGCTGTCACGATAATGAAATGCTGCTCTACCAGAACAGAACCAGCACTGCGTTGATGAACTCTGGTTCGTCAGAAAATGAGTAAGTCAGGATGAAATGGCCCTAAACACTCATTAGCGGAGGTGTGAATTTAATTACATAGCACTGGCAGCAGAAGGGTGGTGCGAGGATCTGCAGGCTTGGGAAAGCGACTCGTCTCTCATTGTTCATTCACTTGCAAGCCTGCGACGGTTCCCACACCAGGCACATCAATGTCTCACCACTCAGGTTCGCAATGCGTCATCGTGGTGCAGCTGCACCTGTGAACAGAGTCTGGTGGAAAGCCGCATCAGGGCTGCCTTCCCAACATGGCCCCTTCCAAATGCTTTGGACTACAATCCCAGTATTCCCGACCATTGGCTATGCTGCCTAGGGATGAGGGGACACGAAGGCCAAAACCTCTGGAGAGCATCACCCGGGAAGGCTGTCTTGGGAGCCACACAGGGCACTGTGGGTCATGGTGTGTGAACCTCCACAGAAATTCCATCTGAGGGATCCAAAGCTGCTTTGAATGCTGTCTTCTTAGTAGAATACAAATCAACTAAGGGGGCACAGAGAGAATCTAAACCAGGAAAGGATTAAAAATTAGGCAAACTCAACACACAAAACTCAAATAGCCTCCTAAATGCCAACATATACTCTAAGGTTCATTTTAATGTTTACATGCATCAACCAGTGCTGAAAAACATCACAGCTGCGATCGCATGGATGTTAGGCACTGCCTAGAAAGCCATAGGAAAACCCGGAGTCCATATGAAGCCGCAGAGGAGTGCTCCAAGGTAGAAGCTGCAGCTCCAAATTCAGAGTCCCCACCTTCCCTTGCAGCTGGTACAATTCTTTCCGCATCTGCTGCACTTTGAGGGGGAATTCCAGAGGAAAGGGGAGGGTGGGGATCCACTAGGATCCACGGACTCCACCAGGAATCCCACCGGTGCTTTAGTCCCTCTCCCTCCTCCTCTTCCCCATCACGAAGAGAGGTAAAACACTTCAGACGGCCAACAATAGCTAAGTGTTTTGCGGGGTAAAGAAAGCACGGAAGACTTAAGTCTTCAGAAGCACGACTCAAAGCGTGTGGTTCTAAGGACTTAAGCCCGCCTTTCTTGACTGACTGGCATGGATGGCGCTCTGGAAGAAGGGCCACGGCTCCAAAGGCTCCAGGTGCCAGGTTCAGTCTGCGGCAGCTCCAGGTAAAGGTGGGCAGGTCTGCTGCCAGACAGTGCCCTCGGTGGTACCAGCTGCGCCGCATTACAGCCAGCCGGCCACTCTGCCGGGAACTCTGTGCCCATTTATATTCCATGCCCAAGCCATGGCTATTGCTCCACACCAGAGCAACCTTGAAATTAATTGTGCCCTGATGGACCATTATCCTTGAGCGCTGCTATTTCATTTGCCATATGCCTCAGGCGCAGTGGGGATTTCACTTAATTAAGCTGCACTGGAACTGACATTTCCAAACTAACGAACCTTCTGGAACCACCAGAAGAGAGGCCGCATGCCGTCTCGGCCTTGAGATCTCTGCTCTGCTGCAGCTGCAGCCCTCAAAACTGGCAGGGATTTGGGGAGGCGGTTGAGTGAGATGGAAGCGCACCACTCAGAGCTGGAGGAGGGTGGAATGCCAGCCCAGCAATTTCTCAGTCCTGTCCAGGACCGCAGATGGATGAGTGCACAAAGGAATAGGATGAGGAGTTGTTCCTATGCCGGTGACACCTCACTTCATTCCTCTGATCTCAGTCCCAGAGTCCTGGTGAAATTCTAATGTTTTAATACTGCATCTAGAGGCCAACGTAGGAGAAAAGAAGTCAAATGCCTCACATCTGTCCCCTCTTCTGGTTTTCCCCCAACCAAATGGCTCCTGGCAGTCTTCCGGCTTGGTGCTGCTGCCTTTGAAGGCCACCGCAGTTCAGAAGACCTCTCTCATTCGTGGTTTGATTATGGGTAAGGGGGGCAACCTGGCATGCATTGCTGAGATCTGGGTTCAGCACCAGCACCATCCTGAGGGCCAAGGAGGGGGAGCGTTCGCAGCCTCTGAGAATTCGACTTCCCTCTCTGGGGCTCCTGTTCCAATCTTGAGTGTCTGTACTGATCATGAGCTCCTGGTAACAAGGAGACCAGCTCTCTTTGTTGAATTCTGGCTATTGTTGTACAAGTTTCTGAGCATCAAGCAAGTACGAAGGCTGATCCCTCTCTCCTGTTCATTAACCAAAGCTTCCCTCATGACCCTTCTGTGAGTCAAGCCAGAAGAAGCAACACTGCGA